GTCAATCACAGGCTATGTGCTGGAGCTCTCCTCCCCCTTCACCAATTATAGATAACAGAGGAATAAGACAGGAGACTGTGATGGGACCGCCTGTCACCCTGGTTGTGTAATTCCGTCAGAGAACTGCTTCCTCGCCGCTTAGACACAGGACTAAGGTATTATATAGCTGGGCATCTCACCCAAGACTAGGCAACACTAGCTTAGGTGCAAAAACTGGAACTACTTTGAACAGAAATACATCTTAGATTGTAAGCTCCAAGGAGCAGGGCCCTCCTAACCCTCTTGTATTGAACTGTATTGTTGCTGTATTGTCTCCCGTTATATTGTAAAGCGCTGAGCAAACTGTTGGTGCTATATAAATCCTGTATAATAATAATAATAATAATAATAATGTCTTTATACACTTCAGAAATAGGGACAGTCCCCACAATAAAACAAATATCACACATTGGGATAAACATCCCACACTGATTAGGTAAGAGCTTGATCACATGATTCTAAACAGTGCAAATGGTAAACAGTACAGCCAACAGCTAATAGTGATCTCATTAACAGCAAGCTAAGCAACAGCCAAGCACCCACTCAAGGCAGGGAGCCCACCCCAGACAGCCTGGCACCTCCAACCCTGAATACACCAAGTCCATTACACGTGTTTCAGGTGTTTGCTTTCACTATTATAATCTGTCCATCATAAGACAAAACTCATACAATATTCCACCAGTCTAAAAAAGTGGAAATTAATTTAACTTCATAGATTTCTTGAGGGATATTGTTAACCTCCCAAGTCTGGCTCAGGGTTAAATCTAGCTGTCAAAAGCGGTAACCCCGAGACAGACTCAGGGTTACCGCAAACTAAGCACCTGGTCCCTGCGATCCGTGTCCCGGATCCTGAGCCGCATGCAGCCATCCCCTCCGGCCGTCCCCTGTCTCCTTCCCTGCTTCCCTGGTATCTTACGCTGATTAATGTGATCAGCATGAGCCAGCTGTGCTGTGCCATCAGGGGGTGGGGCTTGCGGGAGGCGGGAGTTATAAAAATAGATCAGTGTCAAAATAAAGTGTTACTCTAGTGCATACATTGTAACTTTACCTCAGATATTTCCATAGTGTAGTTTTTCAGTTTCTGTGACTAAAAGCGGTTTTGCACTCATGGCTTCCAAAAAGCGTCTCGCTAGCACCAACGCGGTTTATGATGAGCTAGCAATCAGCAACAGTGAGGAGCTACTTGAATTGAGCGACAGCGACTCATGTGGCAATTTGTCTTCAGACACTGACAATGAAGACAGCGGCGAATCTGAAATTGACATGAGTGATCTGCGCATGTGGTGCACTATTGACTGCGATACACCAGCGCCACCAAGATTTCCATTTACCGGCGCACCTGGTATGAAAATAAACGTTGAAGGTGACAACCCCTTGGCGTATTTGGAATTGTTTCTGACCGATGAGGTTATTGAAATTATCATGACGGAGACAAATAGGTCTGCAGTGCAACAACTACCTGCTCCACCCAACAGGTTTTCACGAAGCAGAAAGTGGGAACCTGTTACCAAAGAGGACGTTTGGCTGTTTCTTGGCCTAATTATTCTGCAAGGAGTGGTGGGGAAACCGCTGCAGAAGTGGTACTGGACCACAAACAAATGCTTGCCATGCCATTCTTTGGCACAGTCATGTCGGAGCACAGCTTTTCCCTTATGAAATTTTTGCACTTTGCAAATAATGAGGATTTTGATGAAACAATTCATCCGGCTCCCAAGCTAAAAAAAATTTGGGAAGTCTCCCAAATAATTGTAAGAAATTTTCAGCAGAGCTATGTGCCAGAGAGAGACATTAGCATAGACGAAAGTCTAAATGGCCTACAAGGGAAGGCTCAGCTGGATACAATATATCGCATCCAAGAGAGCACGATCAAATCCTACCTGCTGTGCGAATCCTCTACCGGCTACATCTGGAACACCGTCATATACACCGGCAAAGGCACAAAATTTGATCACAAGTACAGCAACTACGGAATGGCAACATCTTCCGTCCTGTCACTGATTGAGCCTCTGCTAAACCAAGGCTACTGTATAAAGACGGACAATTTCTACACCTCTCCAGAACTTTACAAGGTTCTTCTTCAGCACAAAACAGATGCATATGGAACCATACGGGCTAACCGGCGCAACCTGCCATCCATGTTTGCAAAAAACAAACTGAGGTTGAGAGAATTAGTTGCCTGGCAGAAAGGCAAAATGATTGTGCTGAGATGGCGAGACAAGAAGGATGTGTGCCTAATGTGTGCCACAATGCCTCCACAGTGATGGTACAAACAAAAGGTGGGAAAAACATCCAGAAGTCACTGGTTATCATTGACTACAACAGCACCATGTGAGTGTCGACATAGCTGACCAAGCTATAACATTCTATCCAGCGATGAGATAGCAGCAGAGAAAATACTACAAAAAGATTTTCCAGCATCTTCTGGAACAGTGCTTGTGGAATGCCTATATTCTGTTCCACAAAAACAGTGACAAGCCTGTGGTTCATGAGGACTTTATCTGGAAAGTGGCAGAATCTATTTTCCTCAAGCATCAAACACCATCAGTGTCTGTGGGTAGACCCGGACGACGTGCTGTGGGAGTTGTCAACCCAGAACATCTGACTGGCTAACTGGATGTCATTTTATGGACCACATCCCATCAACCCAAAAAAAGGCAGTACCTTCACGGATGTGCGTGGTATGTTGCTCTCGGTGAGATGAGAGTGGAAAAAAAAATCTGCAAGGAAACGAGGTTCCACTGTCCTGATTGCGATGTCGGACTGTGCAGTCCCGTGTTTCAAAATATACCACACCCGTGAAGTTTTCTAGAATATGCAGTGTCTATATAATATTGTTTGTACAGAGTTCTGTGTGTTTGATTTGATTACATTATTTAATTTATTATTATATATTATTATTTTATATTATATTATAATTTATGATTCAATTTATTAAACTTTATTGCACCAAGGATGTCTACTAGACTTGTCATGTTTCACGACAGTCATATTTACTGTCATATGCCTTTAAGTGTTTTCTATATTTTGTCTCAGCTCCTCCCTTTCTTCTGGTTTAGTTAATACTGTATAGATATCCCACCCTTTTTCCCAGAAATGCATTGCAGCTCTAGCCTCATGTCATGGAGCAGGACACATTATGATCTTTTGACCTATCGAATGTTCATTGTTATAAGATTCTCTCAGTTTATGGAATAAACTTCACAACATCTACAAGATATCATCTCAATTGAGTCACTGACTGTGGTCTCCAACTGAGATTGGAGTTATTGCTATCTCATCACAACTGTAAGTTACAGAGATCACACTTTCAATACTTAGATTGGAGAGACAGAACAAGACTCTTGTTTAAACAGATTTTAGTGAGTTATTCCTAAGAATTACAGGCCTACAGTAAAAAAACAACATATTTCCATTAATAACAATGTACCACTTTGAGCACAGAAATACTGACATAATCATACCGCTAGGGAGGTTAATAAATATTTCTGTCCCAAGTTGAGGAGCTTTTCCAACCCAGTCTACAAGAGGGTCTTATATTTCCTCTGACCATTAACCTGTATAAGATTAATATTACACCTTTCCATCCACTCCAGAAGGGAAGCTGTATTGTCGTTAATCCAAGTCTCACTCTCGGCGTTCAACACGTTGTTATCCAATTTTAGAGAATGATCTGCTCTCTACATGGGCCATAATCAGTGGGTAGAAGGCTAGCCCCTAGTCCCCTCCAAAAGCCTTTGTCTTGGATGGGACTGTCACACAGACAGAAACTACACTCATTGGGACTTTGCTCATATTATCAGAGGTTTAGAACCAATTTAACTCAATGAAGAATTGCATCTTTTGCAAGATAATACCTTACTTACAAATTTTGGTATACAAGCACTGGATACAAATATAGAAGGGAGTGCCCAGAACTATTATTAAATGAACACGAGTGCATACATTTACAAGTATAGAGGCCTGGAATAAAAATTTTTCTGTAAAATTCCCACATTTTTTGAGTCAAAGAGGAAATGAACATTGGTTGCTGTGCGCAAAAGTCAGCAAGGTTACTTGAGGTTCAGGCTTAAGGGCTCTACAGGTAAGTTCTCTGATACCTCCCCCTGCTCTAGAAACTTGGAGAAGTTTCTAGAAGCCAGTAGGAGCTGATCTGCATACTTTAGGGAATCTGGCCAATCCCCAGGCAGGAGGCCTGACATGGTGGCTAGGTCAGCCCTTAAATAAGAGAGAGCCTGGTCAGCAGGGGAGTCAGTTGGAAAATGGAGTGAGGAGGTGCTGCTGGTTTGAAGCTTGGGAGGGGGGCCCAGAGGAGGAGGATCTGCCTACAGACTGGATGCTGGAAAGGAGGAACTCCACTGTCCCACAGTCTATTGAGGAAAGACATACTGTGAGCAGGGGAGGAGCCAGCCCAGCATAAAAGCAGCTTCAACCTTTAAAGCTACAGGAACAGTACAGTATGAGTACTTCTACACCCTCTGGGCCAATTAGGGTGAATGTGGTCAGGTGCAGTATCTAACTCCCTGGGACTGCATTATTTGTTTGTCTTGGAATCCCTTGCCCTGGGATACTCTCAGGTCAGCCAGGTGGATGTGAAGATTTTAATCTGGGGTCTGAGGAGGTTCATTTAACCCACTCCCGCCCTCCATATAAGGAAATGACGTGCGGGCGGCGGTTCTCTCATTCTGGGAGGACGTCATATGATGTCCTCCCACTCTAACCACGGGCGTGCAGCGTGGCGATCGGTAGTGCGCTGTGTCCCTGGGACACCGCTGATCACCGATCAGCGGAAAGAGCCAATGACGGCTCTGTCATGTGATCAGCTAGGTTCAATCACAGCTGATCTCATGTAAATAAGGAAATGCCGGTTATCGGCAGTCCTCTCCTCATGCTGACAGCTCAGCATTCCTCAGAAGGGACATCTACACTGATCAGTGCCCTGATGATTAGTGTAGATCCATTAGTGTCACCTTTCAGTGTCCATCAATGCCACCTGTCAGTGCCCATCAATGCCACCTACCAGTGCTCATCAGTGCCACATCAATGCCACATATCAGTGCCCATCTGAGCTGCCTTTCAGTGCCGCCTATTAGTGCTGCCAATTAGTGCCACCTATCAGTGCCACTTAACAGTTCCAGTCAGTGCCGTCTAACAGTGCCAGTCATTGCCACTTAACGGTTCCAGTCAGTGCCAGCTATCAGTGCCAGTCAGTGCTCCCTATTAGTGCCGCCTATCAGTGCCATATATGAGTGCTACCTTTCAGTGCCCATCAGTGATGCCTGCCAATGCCCATCAGTGCTACCTACCAGTGCCTCCTCATCAGTGCCCATAAGTGCCACCCATAAGTGCAGCCTATCAGTGCCCATCACAGCAGCCTCATTAGGACACATCAGTGAAGGAGAAATATCACTTATTTACAAAATTTTCTAACAGAAACTAAGAAAACATTTTTTTTTTCAAAATTTTGTTGTTTTTGTTTTTTTTAGCAAAAAATAAAAAACCCAGAGGTGATTAAATACTACCAAAAGAAAGCTCTATCTGTCTAAAAAAAATGACAAAAATTTCAAATGGATACAGTGTTGCCTGACCGCGTAATTGTCATTCAAAGTGCAACAGTGCTGAAAGCTGAAAATTGGCCTGGGCAGGAAGGGGGTGAAAGTGCCCGGTAGATAAGTGGATAGCGGACCAAGTGCTCCTTGCAAAGACTGTGGTCCTTGCTGATTGTTCAGAAGTTAAGAGCCACTCCTAAAGGAGTAGATAGCCTAGGATCTGTTCTTTCGTGATTTTGCTGGATTTTTGTCCCTTTTGTGCCTAGGAAGTTGTCCTCAAAGTTGTTTCAGTTCCATTGGGCATCCCATATACCCTAGACCCCATGCAAGTTGTTAACCCTTAATAAAACAACAAAAAACAAGCTCATTGACTGTTTAATGACTGTGGAAAATGCATGTTGCCTGGCTCTGCAGAGCTTAGGGGGACCCAAAAACACAGCGGCCCTTAGCGCTACAAATGTTTAAAATAGATTTTTATAAACTTTGATTTAAAATTTTATACATCAAAGTTGGCATAGCTCAGATGTTTTTTCTGCTTTCGGATTGCCATTCAATTCCACTGCTTCCTTCTGGTGCCATGTCTCTGTGGTTTCCACTCTCTCTGTTCTCCCTTTACCTTTCTTTTCTCTTCATCATCCACCGATATAGTGTTCCAGCTTTAAAATGACACATGTTATGGAGGATGGTTTGTAGAGGTAAGCAAACTATTCCTTCAGTATATTTTATGGTTTCTGTTATAGCCAGTTACATTTTAATGAAACAGCAAATTCATCTGGTACTTAATTATTTATGCTTTAAGGAGGGTTCCAAACTAAATTGCAGGAAATGACAGAAAGCCTTTAATTAAAAAAAGCCAAAAAAAACTGTTCTGTAAATTAAGTCAGGACAAATAAGTGCAGTATTTTTCTCTTTTTAATGGATTTTTAATTTGTGTGCAAAATACATTAAGCAATTTAGAAACACACATTTCTGGGTTTCTGGATTTATATACATATTGTGACAGGAAAAGACTCTGTCATGGTGAAATTGGTCAGCAAAAGGACACGGGGTTTGCACTTTTGCTGAGTGCAGGACTAAGGAGCATATGTTTGAATGGAGAATACTTTTGCAGCTTTCTCCAGGTTTTGGTAGTCCTGGATGGGGCTCCCTAGTTTGGAGATTCCATAGTGCCTTTGGCGGGATGGAATCTCTTACCCAGTGTTCGGGATTTGTGGAGGAACAACAGGGTGTGTGCCCAGGTGCACACAGGCCTTATCAGGGGTGGACTGACAACTCATGCGGCCCCCGGGCAATAGGGGATCATGGGGCCCCTGTGTCCTTGCCCAAACTCAAAAAAGCCTATGAAAAAGGTACCAGGGGCATCTCATGGGGCCCCCTACTGACCCTCTGGCAGTGCCTGAGTTTCCAAATGGTCAGTCCGCCCCTGGGCCTTATAAGGGAGGTTTAGGAATACCTCAGGGCACCACCCAAGAGAAACAGGAGGTCTCCTACAAGAGTCAGAGAGGCTGCATGTGACAGCCAGAGTATGATTGTCTGCAAAAGACAGTTAACGGCCTGAGGACAAGACCAGAGCAGCTGTGTGTGTCTGAGAAGCTCTAAGCTGTGTGCCTGCAAGACCTGGTGGCCAGAAGGACCAGTATCAATACTGTAGAGTAGCTAGCTGGGCTAGCAATTTCATTTGGATTGTTCATATGTTACTGGAGAATAACCCCTGTGTGGGAAAACTTATGCTGGACTTTTGTTTTTGCCTTTCCTTTTTTATAAAAGTGGGCTACCAAGCCCTGTTATAAAGTTCCTGACTGACGTGAACTCAAGGTTGGTGCGCTTCTGTGTTTTTTGTTCTTCGTTACAGTTTTTATTGGACTTCCTCAGCCTTGTGCTTGAGCTGCACAACCTTTGATCGGCTAGTGGATGAACTTTCATATATTGTTCCACCCGCTGATTTCTGATCTAGGTCACTGAGCACAGGAGGTGTTGTATCTGTTTCCCCAATATATATACGTATACAGTATATATGTATACAATAATATATATATAAATAAATATATATATATATATATATAATAATTTTTATTTTCTTTTTTAAGTTTAAGGTTTCACAAAACTTTCCCCAAAGGTTCACACATTTTGTACTTGAAATAAATTGGTAGAAATGCAAATCCTGGGCAATGATTGTACCAATCTTGTGTGAAAACATTAAATAGACATAAATCAGACTCTTATGCAAGCCAAAGACAGTTCAAAAAATCGATTGTTCTGTTGCCACCAATGATTGCGAAAATTGACCGTTTTTCGCAAATTTTCCAGCATGACTGATAAAAGAAATGAGGAGGAACCGCGAAAATCGGCTGATGACATTGCCCCACTAATGGTGCTAAAATCGGCTGATTATTCTTTTGGATGAAAAATCGGCCGATAAACGAACCGTCTATGGCCTGCATTTGGGTTTAATTTCCATGCCCACCTAAACTGACCCTAGCAATTGTGTCTATAAGAATTTAAAATGGACATTGGATAGTACGTTTTATGCTTTAAAAACAAAAAAACAAACGAAAGAAAAAAATGACTGCAGTGACAATTACCAACTTTATATCAAGAGTTTCTAATTATACTGCATCCATGCTTTCACTGTAATCTGTCCTTGTCACTTGTGGACAACTTCAGGTGGAATCGGTGAGGTGATACCAGTGGAAGTGGGGAGCGGGTACCTATCAAAACTTGGTACCTGCTGCCCCCAAAAAAATAGAAGAGAAGGAAGGAGAGCGGAACTTCCATTTTTCAGTGAAGTTGTTTTTTTGTAAGTTGTAATTTTATATGATTACATTAACTTAAAGGACACAATCCAATCACTCGGTCTAAAGACTTCATTAGCCCCCCCCCTTCCTAATCCCCTCCAGGGTCAAAAAAGAATAATCATATTTTTTAGTTTAAAACTCAGTTAGGCTGGCAGATTGATGTTTCAGATAAAAAAGGCAATCAGAGTAACAGAACTGATTTTAGATTTTTGGACAAAACCAACGTTGTGGACTAAAAATTTGCAACCATCATCTTTCTTTTTGCATTGTTCACAAAAATGTATTTAGTAGTCAAAGCATACTGTTAGCAAAATGTACCCTATCGTAATTTACTATAGTGAAATTTGTGTTGCTTCTGTGTTCCTTAGGTTTGAATTATCAGTGTTTTCTTATGTCATAAAGACATCTGGAACATCTTAAAAGTAGATTGGTGGACACTTCTTTCTGTGGTCAGATGACAGAAAAGACAGACCAGTGATTTATATGACAAATGTATTCTGCAAGATTAAATGAGACATGAGGGTCCATGAGCAACCTCCCCAGTGACCAGAGCATCAGTCTTTTATTTATACCATGGAAGACTGCAAGAAAGACTAGTACACACCCAGCCCAACCACAATACCAACTGCAAAGGTAAGGATAAATGATGTTTTCATAAAAACATACCCCATTTCCTATATATTGTTTTCATATGTTTTTTAAATGTAGTGGGAAAAACAGAACTCCATAAGGTGTGTTTATTGGAAGGGGTGGTTGCTACAAAAACTGAATATGCTGACTGCCCCTAACCCATTAATAAAATGTGTACAGACGTAATTATCTGTACATAGTGCTAACAAAGAATCAATTGATAGCAGAAAGCTTTTTTCCTACATACTGATGTAGCTGGCAGGTTTTTGGCAAGAGGGTGTGGTATCCTCAACCTCCGTTGGGCCCCAGGCAGCTAGACTTCCTCTACAAGCCATGTTCTGGTATATGTCCATATGTATGCATGAATAAAGCCATAGTTTTCTTTAGGATGGTTGTCAAGATGGGAAAATAATAAATGAAGGGTTTCATACGCTATCCATGCATTCCTGAATAAAAATTTAAATATGTGCTGTATTTTAACCTGCTGATCCCTCCATCCATACTGGCCTGTGAAGACGTATGGGTCAATGGCAGGGGACCAGGTAACAAAATAGCTTGGTTGTGGATACCAGCAGTGGCAGCAAGACAGAGAAGACTGGAGTTTCCACCTGCTGGACAAGCAAGCATTCTATTTTCACATGGTAGTTGTATCCTTGTGAGATAACAATAGTCATTTTGAGGTATATGCTAATAGTCACTTTGGGGTATATGCTGAGGGCCAGGATAGTGATTTAAAGTGATTCTAAAGGCTTATTTAAAACAAACAAACAAAAAAAATGTCTATACTTACCTGCTATGTGCAGTGGTTTTGCACAGAGCAGCCTGGATCCTCCTTTTCTCAGGTCCCCCTCCGGTGCTCCTGGCCCCTTTCCTCCTGTAGGGTGCGCACACAGCAAGCAGCTTGCTATGGGGGCACCTGCTGCTCCATGTATCCATTTACACACACAGCAGTGGCTCGGCCCTGCCCCCTCTCTCTTTTCATTAGCTCACTGCTTGTGATTAACAGCAGTGGGAGCCCATGGCTCCCGCTTCTGTCTCAGCCAGTGAGGAGCTGGAGTCCTGGGATAGCTGAGACTCCAGTGTACAGTGGGGATCGAAAGTTTGGGCACCCCAGCTAAAAATTTGTATTAATGTGCATAAAGAAGCCAGGGAAAGATAGAAAAATCTCCAAAAGGCATCAAATTACAGATTAGACATTCTTATAATATGTCAACAAAAGTTAGATTTTATTTCCATCATTTACACTTTCAAAATAACAGAAAACAAAAAAATGGCGTCTGCAAAAGTTTGGGCACCCTGCAGAGTTA